GACAGTAACTAGTAATATATAATGTATTACATTTTGGAAGTAACTTGCCCAACACTGATGAGGACACGGGAACATACTGTTTTCAGTAGGCTGTAAATAAGCAAGTTTGCAAACTCGGTCACAATTGTAAAAGCCGTGTCCAGAATTAAATATTTCCACGCGTTTACAGCACAATTATACGTGTTTTGACACACTGCCACTGTTTTTAACGAAGAGGCTTGGAAAGTCGGTCCTCTGAGATCTCATTAGCTATTTCAATTAGCAAACGGCATGGAGGGTAGGTTACAGGTTTCCGTGGCCTCTGGGATGCCGACGGCTGCCAGGAAGGAGCAATTAGGCCTCACGGAGGAGACGGAGTGACCCACTAATTCAACTAAAACACACATAGACGCGTCCAGGGATGGCAAATGTAAAGCTAAGTGTGTTAGCTTATAGATGCTTTTACCATCCAGATATCTGGAGACCAATTTGAAGAATCTTCTTTCTTCTCAGTTCCTTAAATGTTGAATTTTCAATGTGTCTAGCAAGTGAACACATGAAATATTAGCGTATTCTGTAGGCCTACGTAACAAAACGTTCTTTGGTAAAATCAACTGGTTTGGTCAAGTAGCCTATCACCAGAGCTGGGTAGATTATACTTACAAATTGTAGTCCGTTACTTATTCCAAATTACATGACAAAAGTTGTAGTTAGTAATGTAATCCATTACATTACACATTTTAGGTAGCCTAATATAATTTGACTACTTTCTGATTACTTTTAGATTACTTTTGACTTAATTCGTTTAGGCTATCACATTGATTTAAGTAGCCCAGGTTAAAAAAAAGTTCACTTCCATAATGTACTTGAAGTACTCTATTTTTGCGCACTAATTTTGTATTACGGTAATATAGCTACTAAAATGATTCTTTAGTACTTCTTAAAATAAACCTACATCAACTAAGTGTACTCAACTATGCTACTTGTAGTACACTTGAACCCATCTTTCATAGGCTACACTAGTATACTCAAGTGTAGGCTACTACAAGTGGTAACTAAATACATTTTTTTAAAATACAGAGATGGTATGTTAAAAGCGAGTTTTATTTCATATGCATGGTGTCCCAAAATATCACAGCTGAGTACACTTAGTTGATCTTAAGTTTATCTTAAGAAGTAAAGAATCATTTTTAGTAAAAAAAATTAGTGCGCGGAAATAGAGCACTTATGGAAGTGTAGATTTTTAACCTGGGAGGATTGAATCTTGTACCATATTGATATAAAAATGCAAAGAGTAAGAAAATATATTCCATATTCCAAGGAACATTTAAAAGATGAAAAAGTAGAATTAGGGAGAATCAATAAATTCTGAATAATTTATTGCTATTGAGTGAATTATATGTAATCCTGTAATCAATAAAAAGTAACTGTATTCTGATTGCGAGTATTTTAAAATGTAATCTAATTAAAAATGTAATGTAATCCAGATTACATGTAATCATGTACCCAGCTCTGCCTATCACTTGTTTATCTTCTGATGTCTGATGAAGTTAGGTGTCTTTACACAGCAATTTTAACTGGATGCCTTTATACCAGGGCCTGAGGAGAGCAGGCGTAATTTTGTCTGGCTGTTATGCAGCATATATTTACACAACATTTGGAGCAAGTACAGAGCAGCCCTATCTGTGTAAGGATGCCAAATAGCATTGCTCATGGTCCGCTCTCAAGGAAACTGCTGAAGCCCATAATTTCGAGATGACCAGGACAGTTCAATTGTGGTTGTTGTGGTGAGTTAAAATCACATTCCAGACGAAGGGACGGTTCACCAAGACACACTTGAGGTGCTAAGAATGGCTTAAGTAGCATTCAGTCACTGTTTCGCAAAGCTATGTTTTATGTTCTGAAATTGGCTCCTTGATTTAGTTTTGTGGGTAGCTATAGTTATGTGATTTAGTGATGGTATCACTATCAGATGGAAAAACCACGGTTTATGATAAATACGTTTGATATAGCCTACCATGTCTCATAATGTTTGTTTACTTCCACATGGCACTAGCCCACTACATAGCGAAAAACAACAAAGTATGACTTTTAATTTATTTCATATATGACTATATGCTTAGAATCTGCAACAATTATGTATTCTAATATCAGAATTTAATGTGTCAGATGTGAACGAAAATTAAATATTAAATTTAAAAAAAGTCTAGAATGTTATTAATCTATGAAATTATATAAGTGATTAAGCTTTGAACACAAGCTTTGAATAAATGACTAGCCTACACACATACATAGGCTATACATACATACATAAATGTTTGGATCCAACAAGAAAATTGAAACCAGTAAAATTTGGACAGTGTGGTATTGTTACATGAGAAATTAATATTACGGACACCGCCCCCTAGTATGAGGTTCCATTTGTGTCAAAAATGAGTCGACTGCTTTGTGCTTTGTACTATACATTTGTCTTTGTCTACAGTCATTGCCTACTTGTTCAGGTAAATCAGTATATGTAGGCGTGTATGTTGTCTGTTGACGTCGTCTTAATCTGTCGTCCTGCCTGCTTTTTCTCTGTCATTTAATTACTGTCGTCCTTATTGTCGTTTTGTTCTGTCATCTTATTCTGTCGTCCCAACTGTCGTCCTGTTCTGTCGTCCTAACTGTCATCTTATTCTGTCGTCCTTACTGTCGTCTTGTTCTGTCATCCTAACTGTCATCTTATTCTGTCGTCCTTACTGTCGTCTTGTTCTGT